CACCAAAAATAATAAATTCAACGTTACTGGTATATTAGCCATATTGTCATCCAATCAGCCAACGCCCTCTGTAGTGTATGCGAACATGTGCTCTTTCTGATGTCAATGGTTTCTACACATAATTTCGAATTTTTGTTAAAATAATTCCAAAATGAAAGTTGAGCCTAGTTTTCTGCTGACTTACCAAGAGTCGATTTTGAAGTGATCGATGAATTTTACTTGAAAAATTTGCAATACTTTGGTACCGAAATGAAGAATGAAAAGTTGAAACGGTAGGTGGTATATTTAGTAGATTCCTTTTATTTATATGACATTCATTTCAGACTTAGTATTTTATCGAAGGATGGAAAGTTTTGATTTTATTTTTATTTTAGCTTGGCCTAGCTTTAGCTTGGCCTAGCTTTAGCTTGGTAATGGTAAAATTCAATCCAAAAATAACCTGAAAAAATATTTTTCGAAATGTAAACTAATGACACGGAATATACAGCAAAATAGGCACCCGCCGGGAACTGCACAAAAAATGTTCTTTAATTAGATAATTGTAACAGTTGTTTTCACACCGAGTTGACAACAATAACAACAAAAATGGCGTCTGTCAAATTGGATCATCAGATCTGTGATTGGATATTAAAAACCAATACACTTGACAACTCCGCTCTAGACACAATAAATTTTATTGGTCAACAGAAAGGCGACCAATTTAAATTCTTGCTTTTCGAATTGTTCTTTTTTCTGCAAATATAAAGAGATCTTGGGACCGATTAGGCTTGATAAGTATAATATACCCCTATAACTTGATCAGTCTACAAGCAAACCAGTATCATTTTCCATGGCACGAAATAAGCCAATTCCTTTTTTTTTTAACTTGATGCAGTGCATATCAGAAAAAACACGAAGAAAATATCTACAAAATAACGAATGCTATTTGTGCGTTCTTTATTTAGCACGATGTTTATGAAGAATTGCTGTACTTGTTTATTACGATGAATAATTAATGATGAATTATAAACAATCCATTCATTGATATGCAAAGAAAAAATTCCTCTCGAAATGAAAAACGAATGTCAGCTATAAAAAAACGGACTTTCTCCACTTTTTTGCTTTGCGGTCGCAACGAATCAAAGGCGTGGTACATACCAGGGAAATATGATATGCTGCAAACAAACAATCCGGTAATAATCTGTCTCCACCATATTTCTAACATACAATTCGGCAATATAAGAACACAGCCGGAGTCACCCGGAACCCTGGCTGGTAGGCCGCGGTCAAATGAAACCTAAAGTACCAAACGTTTCGTCGGCTACTGCGACAGACAGACATCATCAGTATGTGCGGTGACTGCTGGAACGAAAATTATGTTTATCTTGGAAGTGTCAGTAACGACACAGTCAGTCATTATACCTCGAAGTCTCAGCAACGACTCAGTCAGGCGTTACTGAGTCAACGGACATACTACTGATGACTGATGATGTCTGCCGCAGTTGCAGACGAAACGTTCGGTATTTAAGGTTCCATTCGACCACAGCCTACCAGCCAGGATTTTGTTTTCTTTATACAAGTTTGTACTTATTTGATCGCCTTTGTTCGTCAAAATAATTTTTCGACCACTGTCAGCTGTCACCTTGAATAAAATCAGAATATCAATCGATCCATATTATTATTATTTCACTGAAGGGTGATTTGGTCTCCAATAATCAGAACAACCATCTTAACGGAGTCTGCGGAGTTCAGAGAAAATATCTTTAAAATTCTAATCAATACAGTTTATTGCATGATTTTCACTATAAAAGGGTTTGACAAAAACTGCGCCACATGTTTCGCTATGCAATAGCTTCCTATAACATGTGTCGCGGTTTTTGTAAAACCCTTATATAGTGGGAATCATATAATAAACTGTCTTGATTAATTTTTCAATATTGATTTTCATCAAGTATCGGCCAGTTCTATTCAATCTTCAAAATTGTTATTATCATTATTATCATCATTATTATTACCGTAATTATTCCATGGAACGGTCAGATAAGACTTTCGAAGATAATCTTTATAATTAATTGATCAGAGAGTGTCAGTGATTCCCAAAATATTTCCTTTGCATTGGATTATAAATGTTTGAGGTGTTTATAGATAATCAAAAAAAAATAAGCACATTGCAATTTTGATAGATTTATTGAAGAATTTGAGATGCTTTTTAATTTATTTCTTTCAGCCTTTTGCCTCTAACCTAGTATATTCACCTTCATTCTAAACATCTGCAGGATTATAAATATATGAAATAGACAATAAATAGGTTTGCTTTCAGCATCTTGAGCGACCATCAATATGGTTTTCGGAAACAAATATCAACAGGCGACATTCTATCGTATGTCACCCACATTTGGAATAACGCAATCGAGAAACACGGAGAATCAAGAGCTGTTGCGCTTGATATTTCTGAGGTTTTCGACCGTGTGTGGTATGAGGGTTTGCTGGCCAACCGTCGATGCTATGACTTATCGGATCATTTCTGTGTATGTCTCTTCAGCTTCCTGAAAGAACGTTCCCTACAAGTGGCTGTCGATGGATATATCTCGAATACTTTCACCATGAACGCTGGTGTTCCCCAGGAATCCATACTGTCTCCAACCCTCTTTTTATTGTATATCAATGACTAATTGGAAAAAAATCAAGAATCTAATATTTTCCTTTGATGACGACAGCACAATTGTCTCATCATTCCATTTGGATACCAGGATATCGGCAACGGAGGCACATCTTCGATGAGTTTGTTGGGGGTTGAGATGGACACCAATATGTCTTGGCACAGTCATGTCGCTGGAATTACATAGGCTGCTTCTCAAAAACTTGGAACAGTATTCCGAACCAGAAAACTGTACACACTTCAGCAACTTTTGATGCTTTATGAAGCTAAGATCAGACCGTCTGTGGAGTATTGTTCTCATGTATGGTAGGTAGGTAGGTCTAAAGTGAGTGGGTCTATTCGACCCTCCACTGCAACCCATAAGGGTTTATTGTGGTTCACACCTATTCACGCTTGGCCAAATAAACCCAGCTTCTTAACGAAGCCGATTAGTTTGTACAAGAGAGTGGTCTTTCAGGTCAGATGGTGAGTGTACGGATCTGCCGAACTCAAAGAACCTGATTCAGTCCCCAGCAGGGCAGGCACAAAGTATATGCTCTGCAGTTTCATCATTTTCCAGACAGAGGCGATACACACTGTCTTCCGACAGTCCAAGTCTCTGCATGTGATGTGATTCAAATGACAGTGACCTGTAAGAAGGCCTGTTAGACATCGTAGTTCATCCCTACTGTAGTCCAACAACTGTTTGGAATCAAGCTTCGAAGGGTGAATAAACGCCTTTGAGTGAGCCAATCCTGGAAGGTTCTGTCAGAAACATAACTCTTCTTGCCATCCAGATGTTAAGTGTGTGTTTGGCAAAGTCCAAAGCGATACCAATGACAGGTTCTGGTCCAATAAAGCCGCTTGCAGCACCCTCCTTTGCAAGAGAGTCAGCAGCTTCATTGCCTTCCAAGCCAGTATGGCCAGGAATCCAGACCAGAGACAATCTGTTTAGTTTTCCTATCGAGGAGAGTCGTTTTTGGCAGTTTGCTACCAATTTAGACGTTGCTGGGTGGGAGCCAACGCCGCTTGACTGTCCGAGAATATTTTTATTGACTTGTGAGTGAGATTGGATTTATCCAATCTCTCCGCACACAATTCAATAGCGTAAATTTCCGCTTGAAATACAGTCGTATAAGTTCCTAGGCAGGTAGATATCTCTGTCCTGGGTCTGCGACTGAAAACACCTGCACCAAAACCGGAAGGTGTTTTTGATCCATCTGTGACCCAACAACTATCTGCTCTTAATATTTCCTTCTCCCGCAGAATCCACTCCTCTCTACTCGGGAATAGTACTTTATAAGGCAGTTCGTAGTTGACAGTTGGAGACATAAAGTCAGAGGTCATTTCCAGAATGCTGTGACTTCCAATGTCAACCAATAGTCTGTTGCACTCTGTATTGAATTGATTTGTGCAATTGGCAATGTGCACAAGTCTGTATACAGTCCATCTAGTCTCTTTTTCCAGAAAAATATGGATAGGAGGTAGATCTAGAAGGATCTCCATGGCCGCTGACGGTGCGGTACTGATGGTACCAATGATAGCCTGACAAGCCTGTCTCTGTAAGCCAGAGAGCTTCGCTTGGGCCGTCTATTCTCTCATCTCATGTATGGAGCTGTGCCCCCAAACACACCCTGAAGTTGCTGGATTCCATCTTCCTGATTGGAGACACGAACATCACTGGCAACTTCGATAGTCTGGAACATCGAAGAAAGGTTGGATAGTTGTCTCTTGTCTATAAATACTCTCACGGTAGGTGACTTGGCATATTTGATTCCACCAAGAGCGGTACATATCAGAAACACGCGACGAACTTCTGCTGCTCATCGTTTTGAAGTTCAACTCAATACACCTCGAATCTAACTGTTTAGGAACTCTTTTGTTTGGAACACTGCATTTATGTGGAATAAACGTCCTGAGAACGTTTTTCTAAATGTATTTAATCTCCAGCGATTCAAGTCCAATGTGAATCCCTGTGAAATGATGTCGTTCAAAAATTTCAGTGGATTTTTCACTTGGGGGTGTGTTCTTAGGAACAGACGAGATTATTTTATAAATGATGTAAGATCTTGAGCCATTCAACGATAAACTGTTGCTAAATTATGGTGGACCGATAATTGAAAATAAAAAAATTGCTGTTCCTAGAGTTTTTACACCAAGTTTTGACTTCAATTACGTAGTTTTTTTCAATTTAATCATCCTCGTATCTCTTATGGTTTCCAAAAACAACATGCTAGACATCCTTACTTAGGACACATGGCAGCTTAAAAATAGTGATGGTTCGTATCTTGGACATACTGTATATGAATGTGTTACGGATACTTCTACAATTCTCATATAATATTTATAAACATGACATAATGTTAAATATTAAGCCATACATGTGTGAGAAATAAATTGTGTTACCAAAGATAGTTGCTTAAAAACGTTTCTAATTGTTAACTTAGTTTTATGTGTCTGTAAATAATGCTAAACAAACAGTAGAAGTGGCAAATATGGAAATAAAGACCGCTATTTAGCAAAAGTCACTGTGGAAGCTGATAATGACAATGACAGATAACCTTCGGGCCAGAAGATAAGATAGAACTGTATTTTTCGAATCTTTTTGCAAACGATAATCAAGCACTGTGATGAAAGTGAAAGAATTGACGATTAACATTTGTAAATATATAGAACAAGGCTAACCAGGTACTGAAATAGGATTAGTTTATCTAGTCTTACAACAGTGTCGTTGTGAGAGCTGGAGACTCTTTCTAGGTCATGTTTAGTATTCACTGTTTCCATTTTTGTTTTCAGGGTACCATAATAATAATAGCTTTCATTGATGGTTCCATACGAATACAACCAATCAAATGGCAGGATTCAATATCTGCTTATGATAAATCAACGCAGAGATTGCTCTTCCATCCAACCGAAATTTATAAAGTGAAAAATAAAACCAATGCTTTTTTATTCAAGAAACACTTTTTTTGTGAGATTTCACTAAACAGTTTTACAAAAACGCATCACGGGTTTCGCTATACAATAGCTTCTTCAGGCGTATTTATACACGCCTGATAAGCCTGAAAAAGCTATACCTATATATTATATATAGCAAAACGCGTTTTTCGTTTTTGTAAAACTGGGAAATGTTCTAATTTCGCAGGCTTTGTACGTTCGATTAGCGATTTGGGGTAATTGTGAAAAAATATGTAATCCGCCATTTTGTAGCTGCGGCCATCTTGAATTTACAATAATACATAATTTATTAAATTGTATTGTCATCAAAACTAAGTGTGTGTAACAAATATCAGATCAATCTGTTAACAGGAAGGGGGTTAAACTTCAATTAGTAAATTTAACCCAAACAAACAGGGCAAGCTTCATACAATCGTTAAAAAAAATATGTTTCAGCTTGATGTTCATAAATTGATAGTTTTGCGTGTGAAAATTTTGAAAAGTGAAAAAAACAATACGGAGGGAGGGTAGCAAATTTGTCAAAATGTCTTTTAAGCTTTTATGAAATTAGATACTGATTACAAATTAATGGTCAACAACTTTGAACCTGAAAGGATTTTTTGTCATATACCTTTTAATGAAGAGGAAATTGTGCATCTATTTATTTCCAGGTCTTCAAGACTGTATTTGACCTGCTTCTTTCTGTATAGCCGCAATAACCACAGTTTAGCTACATCATGCAAAAAAAACATGAAAAACATAATAGAGCATTCATTACGGAAATCAGCTGATAGTTATCAAACTACCTTATCATTTATTCAACCGTATCTCTCAACTGTCAAGGTGGCGAACTTTGGAATTGTATTCTGCCTGGACTTTTACCTGCATGCTATCGTTAAATATTCCTGTTTACTTGAAAAGAAGCTATATGTAATAATTTTTATATCATGCAAGTATAAATTGAATGTAATTTTGATAATACGATACCCGCACTTCAACGAAACATCTGCTTCTCCTACACTCTCAAGATTTGTAAAATTCTAGATGAGCGTTTCACCAAACTGAAACATTGGTGACACACAGGCTAGTGCAGGGACAAACCCTAATCAGCCAGTCACACTGTGCCGAATACTTGAAAATGTACAATGACCTGAAGGCAGATCCAATACTAGGAATACCCGTGGATAACACAGTTCCGCAGTACAACTTTCAAAAAGATTTCAAAATTATCATACCAAGTAGAGAGGACTGGTAAGACGGCCCACCGGTAAAAGCGGAAGAAACTTGGTATACAGATGGACCAAGAACCCAAGAAGGAGTGGGAGCCGGTATATACGGAGGCAGAGCAAAGACGAGAATCGCACTCAGTCTCGGACATAATGCAACTGTGTTCCAGGCAGAAGTAGCGGCCATCGAACACTGTATAGAGGAAATGAACAGGGAGAAGGTCATAAATAAAACCATTGCCATTTTCTTCGACAGCCAAGCGGCAATTAAAGCGCTCAGCTCATTTCAAGTCTTCTCGAGACTGGTGGGAAGCTGTCTAAGCGCACTCCAGTGTTGCCAACTGGATGAACTATGAAGTCGCTGCACATGAACCAAAACTCCGCTACACTGCTTCATATTCCGCTACGCCTATATATCTGACGCAATCAGTTCGCGCATGCGCCTTATCCAAAATAAATCCCACAGAACTTACAGTTTGTAGTTTGTGTACCGTTCAGATACCACAAAACTGAACTGTCACTAATGTCAGGAATCAGGATCATACTAATTTTCAACCGCGCAACTCAGTGAATGCTACCTAATTTTCTAAATTTACAGCAGGTGATTTTTGAAAGCTGTCGTTTCGACCAAATATTACTTAGCTTGAAATAATGATTTTGAAAAGTAAAAATAAATATCAATTTGTTCACGTGCGTATAATCACACTGAGCTTTTCAAGTTGGAATGAAACAACCAATGTTGAGGAAAAGTTTGTTTTCGAGACTTTGTGTATTTTTTTGAAAATGCTCCGTTTCCGTCAATTACAACTACGGTAGCTCTCGCTCGAGCTTCAATCAGATGAATTATCTTCTATTTCCAGTGTAATTTGTTCTATATAATTCATAATAGTTGAGACATGAATTTGCCGTTGCTCTCATTGTCCTGGCCGATAGCCTTCCAACTGAGCATCTTCCCTCTATCTACCGCTACCACTATCAAGGGAACAACTACTCCTCCTGACTCACCCCCCCTCTCGAATCCCCGTCGCAGAGCGGCGATAATGCGGGAGGACAAACCAGCGGGGCAGAGTACCTTTTCTTTATTTATTAATCCCAATATTACAATAGTCTTACAATGACTTGTTTAACATCAAAGACTCAACGAAGAAGTTGAGGAGCGAAATGTTCTGCCTAACGAACAACTTGGCTTCAGGAGAGATCATTCCACTGAATTACAGGCTCTAAGGTTGGTCGAAAACACCATCAGCGAGCTTAACACAAATAAAAAAGTGCATATTGTGCTACTAGACATCTCGAAGGCCTTCGACCGAGTATGGCATGAAGGCCTTCTGCAAAAGTTAAACGCGTTCGACCTACCTCGGGGCTTGATCCGGTGGATCGGGTCTTTCCTGAAAGACAGGTCAGAGTAGAGGGCTCTCTGTCTGATAACAGAGAGATCCTCTCAGGAATGCCACAGGGAGCCGTGCTCTCTCCGGCGCTGTATTCTCTCTACACCAGCGACCTCCCCAGGTCCGAGCGTGTGAAGATATCCCTGTACGCCGACGACACGGCTCTTCTCTCATCTTTCATGGGTCGGGAGCTCGGCGTCATCTACATGCAACGTGCATTGGACGACCTCGAGCGCTGGTACCTTGACTGGAAGATCCGAGTAAACCCGGACAAGACTCACGCGATAACCATGGGAAGATTACTACCTTCTCCTGCCAGAAAAGTGAGAATGTCTGGAAGGGAGATTGACTGGCAAGCGCGAGTAAAGTACCTCGGCCTTCTAATAGACCGTAGGCTCACTTGGAACCCGCACATCATGTGCGTTAAGTCAAAGATCGAGGGTCGGATAGCTAGTTTGTACCCTCTGGTCAATAGAAAGTCCAAATTGAGCACAAAGAATAAAATTACCATCTACAACACGATGTTCAAGCCTGTCATCATGTATGCTTCCGGCGTCTGGGGACAAGCGGCTCCGTCCAACATTTCCATTTTGGAAAGACTACAAAATAAGTTAATTAAAATGATTGTGAATGCTCCTTGGTTCGTGCGGAACGAAGCCATCCACAGAGATTTGCAGCTGCCTTCCATTTGGCAGTCCATTCAGTCGAGGAATCAGCGAGTTTTTGAAAGTACGGAAACTCACGAAAACCCGTTAGTTAGGGAAGCCACAGATTATGCTGTAGACGACCCCTCCCGATATAGAAGGCCCCGACACTCTGTCGAATGAGGCCCTCATGTCCCCCGTTAACTGATGAATAGCTTTCTTATCCATCCCACCCCAGCCAGGTAGGGGTATCCCGTGAAGGGCGGTACTGATGTCTGAGGACTTCATGCCGCCATACCATCAGTCATGTACCCATTGGTCCTTCTCGTGACCAATAATCAGCTAAAAGGGTAAGGGAGCTGGACTCCAAGCCTGAACGATACGAAGATGACTTTCCACTTGTTTAACATTTGCCTACACATAATCACCTAGTACCCAATAATAGTAAAATACATTAATAATAATAATAAAAATAAAAAGTAGAAGTTATAACATAACAAAATTTAATATCTGCTCCAATAACAATGCAATCCAGTAATACTGCCTATCTTTTTTTTACTGAAGGAGATGAAAATTTGAAAAATAAAAATAAATATGGTCTACAGGAATTTCTGTATCGAANGTTGCATTTAGATTTAATGGGTCCATTCAAAAATAAGTATTTTTTAATAGTTATGGATGCTCATAGTAAGTGGTTGGAAGTTTTTCCGATGTTTTCTATTACCTCAAGTTTGACAATAGAGATTCTAAGGGGTTGTTTCGCGCGTTTTGGATTACCAAATCAGATCGTTACAGATAACGGTACATCTTTCTGTTCTCAAGAATTTGAGAAGTTTTCAGTTCAGAATAATGTAGGTCATATTACGATACCCCCTTACCATCCTTCCTTCTAATGGTGCGGCGGAGAATTGCGTGAAAACAATCAAAACGGCTCTTTTGAGTGCTCTGGGTAAAAATAACCAAACAAATATCAATTTAGTTCTCAACTTTTTATTCGACTATCGCAACACACCTCACTGTACTACAAAAAGTAGTCCTGCCAAATTAATGTTTGGAAGGAATTTGGGAACTCGTTTTGACTCACTATTGCCAAATTCAAATATGGTTGTAAAAAATCGCGTCCTAAAAGCACAAAATAAACAAAAATTATATTTTAGAGGTAAGACAGTAGTGAAGTGCGTTCCTGGAGAATCGGTGACAGTGAAAGATTGTAGAAATGCGGGTAAAGTGATTTGGGTTGAGGCTAGAATTGTCAGGAAAATTGGAAGGTCGACCAGAACCAGAATTAAATAATATTAAATGGAAGCGACACATTAATCAGATAAAAAAACTTCAAATCAAAGATGCTATATTGCCTAATGGAAATTTTCAGAGTTCAACCGATAACAATACAGTTCACGATGTTGAAGTTGTTCCAAATACTGCAGACTTTTCCACTTCTCGTGACACGAACTGTTCGAATGAAAATGTAATCTCGCGACCAAAGCGTACGGTTAAGCCACCTGAACGCTTAACTTATACTTGAATACATAGTTGACTCATATTATAATTATTTGCAGAAAATTCCCCTACTTTATGTTAAAATCCATTATTCCGCTACCGTCGAGTGAATTCCGATACAGTAGCGGAATTCCGCTACGGTTGGCAACTCTGGCGCACTCATGGAGCCAAGTACCCAAAATAGAGTCACTCTAGCTTGGGTACCCGGACATGAGGGTCACAAGGGCAATGTGGAGGCCGATGTTCTAACCCGTGAAGGCCAACCAAGGCTATGATTTGCCCAGAACCCTTCTGCGGGGTAGCGAAAGCATGTATAAAGACATTCATAAACTCATGGATGCAAGCCGAATCGATAGATTGGTGGAATAATCTCCCAAAAATGAGGAAGGCGTAAGAGTTCATAAAGAAACCATCGCCCATATTCACCGAAGACCTGCTAAACCACGACAGTAAGTTTGTAAAGGTAGCGGTGGGTCTACTAAAGGGGCATAGCCGGCTCAGGAAACATATGAGCAACATGGATCTGACAGAAAAACCCAATGCTGGTTCTGTCAAGAAGAGGATGTGTTCTGTGAATGAGAAGCGATAGCAAAGCTGAGGGACGCAAGATGCGAGGAAGAAAAACCAGAGGCTGCCAACTATATGAAGGGGTCAGTTTCAAGGCTATGGAGTCTCATCAAAGAGATAAAGCTGGACAATGAGCTCTAACAACCAATGAGCATCACAATAGATATGAAAAGGTCAGGCTATGGGCTAGCTCCCCGACAATCTAATCTAACCTATCTATGAGATCAATCTATTTTGTAACAATTTTTTTTAGAATAAAGATCGGAAAATAAGGAGTTGTTTTATTTAAGTTGAATACATCACACAAAGTAATATAAGATTCAAAATCGAAACGTCTTACCGACTGAGCACTTCACCGAGTCACCTGTTGTCGATTCGTCGCACGCTGGTTTACTTCGTGTGCGTTTCTCTCCCTCTCTCCTATGTTGCAACGTTCCCTTGCTGCTATGCCACAGTTCGTTGATTTCAATGAGTTCACTAACAGATCTAGTGCATTCAGTCAAAAGTATGTAGCATGTAGAAAACCATAAATTTCTAATTTTTGGGCAACTCATGACTTGAGTGCATGATACTCTGATGAAATATCGAGACCATAGGTCGATTGGTTGAATCATCATACACAAATGTTCGAAAAAAAATATAAAAATAATGAAATCGTACGAATTGTGATCTACTGAGTTTGGTATATATGTACGATGGATATACTCGTATGTTGAGAGTATTCACAAAAAAAGGAAACGATGATACAAATTCAATTCAACGATAAGTTACAAAATACAAATTTCACAGAGTTCATGTGAAATTTTCCAAAATCGATTGAGTTTTTGAAATTATATTTACAATTACCAATGTATGTTTACTTTAATCGATCAAATAGGTCTAGTGCCATGTTTACTCGCCTAGCCTAGCCTTAACTATTTTATTGTTTCTGAAGAAAATATACAAGAATCATATCTCGAATGCACCAAGTTCAATCGGTTGAAATACCTGCAAATCCATTATTTCCAAAATTTTGCAATGCAAAAAAAAATGAATCTAAATCTGTAGAAATGAACTTTAAACGTTCAATCCAGTCTCGGATATACCTACACAGTAGGTTTAATGGAATGACGCCTATCAAAAAACAACTACTTCCCTTGCTAATACCACGAAAGGCGTTGGACCTCGTCTACTAGATGGAGTGACATTCTGTTGTTCGCTCCAACTTAGAAAGAGAAATGTAATAGTCTGAAAAAATTCCGATTTTCAATTATGGAATATCATTGACTTTAAGTCGATGATGGCCATTATTTTGCACTGACGAGTAGCTAACGAGCCCGAAACCGGTCTGCAAGTGTGCCCGTTCCATAAGTGAAGGTCGACTCTTTCAGTTGCATTGCCAATTGCATATGCAGGAAATTTTCTGTGAAGATTTCTGCACTGACGCCTGTCGGATATAATCCAACGCCTTTCGTCGTATGGTAAACTCAGTTTCGACAACAGTTATAGTGCATTTAGTCGCTGTAAAACTTTGTAAACGTTACCCATCCTTTAACTGTTTCATATTTTTTATGCTTTTGAGATTTTCAATACCTACCTCCAATTTGTGAAAGAACGCGCAGAATAAAAAAAAGTTTTATAGAGGAGGTGCAGAGTCTTGAAATTCGAGTAATAAGAATTTCATTCAAAGAGTGCTGAATTCCATTGCAATACACCAAAAGAAATAGGCGAAAGCCTTCATTTCCCAACTCCGCTCATCCAGAAGACTCTTTTGTTTCGATAAGTTCCGAGTTTTCGCTTGAACAAATCTTCAAAACGAAACGAACAGTTGAACATTAGCAAACTTAGTGTCCTTCAATAAACCGCAATTCAATAATACGTTTTTCCAAACTAATTTAAGTTTGTTTACAGTTACGAAAGCCAGTGTCCACTCTATCGATACCGGGGGCGGTGAAAAATTCCAGTCGAGATTCTGGAGGTGGCAGGATGCAACAAGAGGAGCCCGCCAGTGTTGCACTGGCGGGGCACGTAGATTATCCCCGGTTTATGGAGGACCGTGGAATCGGTACGGGATACAAAGGACCTTCTTCCGGTAGCCTTAAACACAAGCCTAACGTCGGTTATCGCCTGGGAAGGCGCAAAGCACTCTTTGAAAAAAGAAAACGAATTAGTGATTACGCCTTAGTCATGGGAATGTTCGGGATAATTGTAATGGTGATAGAAAATGAACTTTCAAGTGCTGGCGTCTACCGTAAGGTAAGAACTTTCAGAATGTTTTATCTTTTGATTCATGAGGGTGTGTTTCAGGACGAATTTTACTCAATTGCGCTCAAAACCCTGATATCTGTTTCGACTGTGATCCTCTTGGGCCTCATTGTGGCCTACCACGCTTTAGAAGTACAGGTAAGTCAATAATTCTGGTTGATTTGTATAACATGTTCCTGTGATCAACATATAGTTTTGAAGTTTTGTATTGTCACATAATCCATGATAATATTTGAACAATTTCCACAAAAAAATTATCTGGACGTTTTTCACTAATACCGCAGTTTTATTGGTAGTAATAGTTCACACTGGACTACAGTTCTTATTTACAAATGTAATGGTTACCTCACTCAATTAGTCAATGGTGAGTGAGATGACAGGTAGAATTTGAGAAACAAATACAATCTCAATTTATGGGCAACAGGTAAATTTTGACTAATTGTTGGCATTATCAAAAAAAGTTAAACGATGGTAAATGTTCAACCTCTTGTCGTTCGTTCGATAGGAAATTTGAATGTTTACCCTTATTAATCCCTAGAGCAGATTCAATTTATGTCCTTTATTTTTTATATGGAGTATGTCGTGAATATTGTTGAAATCGTGACTCCAAAAGGTGGCACGCATAGGTGGAGTTGATCTTCTTCACTTAAAATATTTTTTCATGTTCGGAGATTCTCATTTTGAAATTTCATGAAATCCTTTCCATATTATCTTTTGGGCATGATAGATACCTGATCTGTTATCGTTATCTATGTGTGACTTGCTGCTCTTCATATGTCTACCCAAGGTTCATTTTTCAGTATATATACTTGGTTAACAGATTGTTATCAAGTTGAAGTTGATATTTACTGCAATGTGTTTTAGCAAATTTCATTCCTTATTGAAATTTTCTGAGGATATTGCTACACTAATGAGTCTGTGGATGAAAATGTGGTGAGCTGCTGATTTATGTTGCTGTAGGTGATTAGACTGGTTCTTTATGGTTGTGTCTGTATGAGTTGGTTTGTGGTAAATTGTGGAATCGTGTTTGTTGTTGAATTTCCTAATTGTGAGGTCTGAAAAGTTAATAGAGTTATCTGGGTTTTTATTTCTATTCTGAACTTGATGTTTTCGTGAGGAGTTAATGTACTGAAAAAATTACTGTAATTGTCTATGTTTTTCCGTGAAACAAGCTAACACATCGTCAGTATACCTATACCAGTAGATACATTTCTGAAAAATTGAATGCCTTTGTATAGTTGTTTCAAATCTGCCCATGAAAATTCTAGCTAGAAGGGGGCTCAGAGAATAGCCCATTACGAGGCTTTCTTTGTTGTTATAAGTGGTATTATTGAATCTAAATTCATTTCAGTTAAGACATTTTGACAATATTGACAGAATATCAGAATGAAAACATTAAATTCACAATAGAACTAGAAACCGATAACTCGATAAACTTTTTAGAAGTTACGATCACAGATATTAAAAACAAACACGATTTCACAATTTTCCACGAACCAACTCATACAGACACAACACAACAGCAGCATTATGGTCAACAGACTTAGTATATCAATGTCCCCAGAAGATAATTAGAAATTGAATCTGATGAAACAAATTGCAGTGAATAATAATTCCAACAAAAATGTATTTCATCACATCCTTAATGACATCACATCCTTGATGAAGATTGAATAAACAAAATATTAACGTATCATACAAGACTGGTAACTCCTACGGAAGACATATGAAGAACAGCAAGTCACAAATAGACAAGGATATGTGTGATTGATGACTTGTTTATTTTATAGTAATTCATGATCACTTCAATGAAATGATTGAATAGAACTGGCCGATACTTGATGAAAATCCATATTTAAAAAACTAATCAATAGAGTTTATTCTATGATTTTCACTATAAGGGTTTTACAAAAACCGCGTACAAGCAGTTATGCTTGAAGAAGCTATTGCATAGCGAAACACGTGTCGCGGTTTTTGTAAAACCCTCATAGTGAAAATCATAGAATAAACTCTATTGATTAGTTTCTTCAATGAAATGAATAAAAACACTTTTCTCTAATTACCACTGCTAGATTTTATTTATACGACCGGTTTCGGTATAAAGTTTTATACTTGATAATGGAGTCAAACCCGAAACTGGTCGTATACATAAAATCTACCGGTGGTAATTAGACAAAAGTGTTTTTAATAATTTCACTTAAGATAAAGATAACAGATCAGGTAACAAACTAACATTGGAATCATCCCCAGAAGTTTATATACGAAGTACTTTGAAATATTTCAAATTTCAATACTATTTACGACATATTCCATATACTTGTGATGCACTGTTTGGAACATTTGATGTAGTAATGAATATTACTAGAGTTTTTTCCCAACACCAAATCGTTATTTCAACACCTCAACATGTGCTTCGATCACCAAGTAATTATCTCCAAGAGGAAAAATGAACTTCCTCTTGATCCTCTTGATGTTCCTTCTTTCATAATGCCAATGATTATCCATATTCAAAATTTACCTGCTGCCCATGAACTGAGATTGTAGTTGTTTTTCAAATTCTACCTATTATTCCATTTACCAATAACCAATCATGTGACGTAACTGATACCGTTGTTTATAGGAATTGGTATGTACCATTACCACCGATGAAGTTACAGTGTTAGCGAAACGCGTCTAGAATAAAGGGCCTGGAGCTTGCCTATGATACTTGACTGTCCTGGTACCCAAAATATATTTCATATTTGATTGAAAATTCCTGAAGCTAGCTCATAAGCAAGAATCATTAGAGGGACGACACGCTTTATCGTCGTTGAGAATCCTTGTGTTGAATTAGTGAAAGAAATATTCAATACTATATTATTGTTACCTAATTTATTCGTGTATTTTTTTTATTTAGAAAAAACCGCATCAGCCGTAGCTATTAGCGGCAAACATAAAATATATCTAAAACATGCAGTTGTTTTCATTACAGTTTAAATAAAAGGTTACATTCTTTGAGAAATTCAACAATATTGTTGGTATTGGTATTTTACTTAGTTTGGAGGGAATTTTATTGTTCAGTCTCTCAACTGTGAAGAGCGGGCACTCTACCAGAACATGCGTAACAGTCACAAGCACTTCACACGCGAAACATTTTGGTGGCGGTTCTTTCCTCAATAGATGTTCATGCGTAAGGCGAGTGTGGCCCAGTCTCAATCTGGTAATTATGACTTGATGGAAGCGGTTTGTTGCTTTGTTGTTCCAAGGATATAATGTATCCTTGATTTCCTGAAGTTTGGAAGATTTTTGAGACCATTAATGATTCCACATTTCTACAATTCTGCAATGGAAATAGGATTTGAGATCTATCGGCAATGCTTTCATACTGATATTACATGCTGGATGTTCTACAGCTTCTCTGGCAAGTTCATCGGCTATATCGTTTCCAGAAATCCCAGTATGTGAAGGAACCCATAGAAGGAACCCTTCTCTCATCTAGTTGTTTCATCTCCTCTTTAATCATATTTACCAGTACGTGATGGGTATATATTTTCGACAAAAAATAAGGGAGTTGAGAGAGTCCGTAATTATCAAAAACTCTTTGCCAGGTGTCATTTTAATGAAGGAGAGAGCTTTATAGATGGCATAAAGTTCTCCAGTGAGAATAGTGGCAGATTCATGTAGAGAAAATTTACAGGTGGTCTCGTTCGTTACGAATGCACATCCTACAACACAAATTGTTTTTGAGGCATCAGTGAAGATTTTCTAGTGAAGTGGGTATTCAGATATTACAGTTTGGTAATCAGCTTGGATCAGCTGGGGATTTGTGGTTGCTTTGCTCATGGATAGTAGCTGAGTATTTATATTCGGTAAGGGAATACGCCATGGAGGAGTTCTTTCTGAAAGTTTGGATTGGATTTGTGGAAATTCTTGCATCTGTATGAGGTTGAGGAAAAGCATTTTTCGTTCATGAAATGGAATATTTACTTTTGTAGTGAGACTGACTGGGACGATGAAGGGTTGTCGAGTTTGATGGTCTTGTCGCCTGGATGCATATGATAGTGTCAGTTCATGTCTTCTAAGCTTTAAAGGTAACTCTCCAAGTTCACAGAGTAGGCTGTCAACCGGGCTTGTAGTAAATGCTCCAGAGATGATTCTGAGTGCGTTGTTATGTATTGTATCCAGAGCTTTGAGGGTGCTCGCGGAAGCAGACGAGTAGCATATGCAGCCGTAGTATAATTTTGACCTTATTGAAGTTCTATATAAAGTCAATAATGTCCTACCATCTGCGCCCCACTGTTTATTTGTCAAGCATTTCAACAGGTTTAGCCTTTTTAGACACACTGTGACAAGATATTCAATATAGGTTTTCCATGACAGTGACTGGTCAAATATCAATCCTAAATATTTTATTTCATTTGTGTATCCTAGTGTTTCATTCTTGAAAGTTAAGGTTGGTGGATTTTGGATTTTATTCGGTCTTTTCGTGAAGATAATACATTTAGTTTTATTGGAAGAAAATTGAAAACCGCTTTTCCTTTACCAGTCTTCTAACTTATTTAATTCCCCTTGCAGAATATTGACCATATTTCGAATACACTCTTGATACAGGTCCCAGTTGGCGGTCTCTAACTTCCACTTTGGTTCGTGTATATAAGGATTGCCACTGTGGCGATTTTTTGTTATAATTATTGGGCAGCGATCACTTCCGTGTAGGTCGTCATGAACATTCCAAGTGTGATCAATGAGAATAGAAGGGCTACAAATGGAGAGATCTATGGCTGTTGAGGTTCCCGAGGACATATCTGAATGAGTATCAGAGCCATCATTCATAAGTGAGAGATTCGCTTTATTGTTTGCATTGAAATTTTTTTTCCCATTGTGGTTGTTTTTTGAGAACCCCATATTATGTTGTGACCATTGAAATCGCCCAGAATTATTTTAGGTGACGGGATTTGCTGCAATAAATCATACAGTTTATTCTCGTCAATGTCATAGTTAGGGGGAATGTGAATGTTACAGAGACTAACTTTTTTGAACAACCTAATTCTATTGCTACTGCTTCAAAGTCAGTTATCAGTGGAATTTGTTTCGATCTCAGATAGCTCTTCACATAGATGGCAACTCCTCCCGATGCATGAGTTTTATTTGTTCGGTTTTTGTAAAAAATATCGTAAGTTTTCAGATTTTCATGTTGTAGGTTCTTGAAGTTTGTTTCTTGAAGGCATAAAATATCTGGAGAGTATTGGCTAATTAGTACCTGTAGGAAAGGGAGTTGAGCACGGAAACCGTTCAAGTTCCACTGAATAATTTTGTCATACACCTTACACTCTGGTGATGTAAAATGAAAAAATCAAGTTTATGTAACGTTTCAATAAGTGGAGGAGTCGCTAATGTTCTAACAACGAGCAATCCTCGAAGCGTTCGAAGACATCAAAAATTCAGAAAAAGTCTCAACAAAACTACATCAATACAAAATGTTTCGTATTAACAATAACTTAGAAATATAAATTTGTCAAAAAAATATTTCAGATATTCGCCTTACCTATGTGTGCACTTATAATTTATGTATTCATATAAATATTCATGAAATAAGCGAGAACTCATAAAATGAAGATACTTTTTATTTTATCATTCTACAAAATTTATTTTTTACCCCTTTTTACGTTTGACGTTTTTGTCGAAACCATGTTAATTTTGTCATTGTTTTCTATCTACGTCTTAATATTAACACTTGACTTCTTTACTGTCATACTTAATAGTGGTTCTACTGATCGACGTATCAGTTTCAGGCAGTGAAAAATGAGCCACACAATAAATGTAAAAAGTCTGTCCAGCACTGACACTTTGCTTATATTATTCAAAATAACATTCCAATCATTCGCTTCCACCCTTTGATTATATCCAACATCGATGAACTGGAGATTTCTGATGAAAATTACTATAATAAGAAACGCTGATAAGTTGGTTTCTTTTCTCAATAGAAAATGTGAATACGTTGCCATTTCTTTCAATTTGAAAGTTTTCAATTTTGACCAAGTTGCAGGCAAGACGTGCCTAATTATGAATTTTTTAGCGCCACAAGAATAAAACTTGACAATAAGGTATTTTGACTGTGACGCCAATAGCTAGTGAACAAAAATGGGAAATGACCATCTCTAGTGGCTCTGAAATTAAATTCTGTTTTACACTGGTTTCAGTTATAGTACTGAACTTCAAAATAATTGTTCGCGGTAGGTGAGAAATTATGAAATTTAAAGGGAACCGGAAAATTTCATAATTTTGACTAATGTATGATTATTGAAAAAACAAACAGATAGAAAAGATCCCATTAATTCTGAAATGTTTGCCCCTACAGCTAATATATAAAAAATGCTGTGTCTTTCACAAACATTGAGCTCAAACGAGGTAACAAACAAATACTTGTCTTTTTGCATTGTTTCAATGCATCACTGCTCATTACTTCCATTTCGTTTTCATACCGAGCTGCTAGAACTTCGTCTTACGAGAAAATATACTTTCCATCCAGAAGGTACTGATATGAGACGATATAATTTTCAGCCATAATGTAGTTTTTTTACTGTCAACATGAGTGTAACCAGAACTGAATTTGCTGTTGCTAAGCAAGTTACAATACTGAGACACGAATATTTAGTGACTCCACTAGGCGGTATCGTGGGTTCATGGCCATTTTCAATGAGTACCTACTTCATTTAACTTTTCGAGATCAGTTTCAGATTTACGTTCACAGATTTGGTAGGAATTTTATTATATCTACACTGACTAATGACTTGATACTTATTGAAATATTGTATTTAAATTCGCACGTGCATTTTCAACCAAAAGTTTCCACATTTATTTAATTGAATCATTTTCTGTCTCGGGTTGACTGTTGGTGAAGTCTCGCAGATCCTCAAGGTGTTCAGTTACCTTCTCTGAATATTTTCGATTATGCATTGAAAATGATGAAACTATTGAGCTATAGTTTTTTACTAATTCAATAACATTCAATAAATCAATATGGTTTTCGTTTCGATACATTTTTACGAATATTATGTTTCAATGAAAAACACCAGTTCTAAGAATATGAGTTTCTGGAGACGCATCGATGAGTAATTCGGCGATGATTTTGGTAGCGTGGTGAGGGACGAGGTTACGGATAGGGAGTTGAAGTGATCGACGACAGAAAAAGTCAGGAACGTTGAGAACCTTCTTTACTATTACATTGTTGTCATTATATTAATTATTGGGTAATATATAAACAGATTTGTGTGATTATTGATATTGGTTTATTAGTTGTGCATCACGGGCTAGCACAATTGGCGATGAGAAGTGTGACAATCGCATATAATTGTGAATATTACTCACTCAGGTTAGTGTAAAAAAAAGTAAAACAGTATCTTTGTCGCATATAGTTTTGAGGTAAATATGAAATATTATTCGAAAATACTATACTTTGGGTTTTTTGCCTCTCTTGGGTAAGTCAAGGGGGAGAAGGAAACGTTATAGTGTTTTCAAATGATTCGAAGTTGTTAAACTGAACATTCATCATATAATGTGAAAGATAGGTGAATGAGAAATTCACCTGTATAGTTTTACTTACAAAGTTTCGAGTGAGAAAGAACTGGTTACAAGAAACTGTTACTCTATTTTAAAACAGTTCATTGGGAAAGGCTGCGAGCCACAAAATACGACTGA